AACGCCGTCTTACCTTGTTAATTGTAATATCTTTCATTGTAGAATCCCCATGTGTGCATTAAAAATGCATATTTTACAATTTATAGTCTGTTGAAATTGTCGTGAAACCATATAAAGTTTATAAACATTGTATGCCTTGTATGATTTTTTATTCGTACTTCATGTAACATGAACACCAAATGAATATACTCTGCTGTTCTAGATTATCGTGGGCTCACATTTCGCTATACTTAGTAAACAATAAGAAACGAAGAAAGGGAGGAAACAGTCATTAAGGTGATATTTTAGGATGGCTATAACTTGCTTAGTATTTCATAAAAAAACATAATTTTTTGCATGCAAGCTAGAAATGATCTATTCTTACTACGCTAGGAAATAAATTTCAATAAACGGTCGTCTAACCTACATATTTGACGACCGATATTCATCGATTATTTTCGTACGATGTGCACCGCAACACCCTATGACGGAAGTGACGTATTGTTTCGTGTTTATGCATGATTGTTCAAATTTTTCGAATACTAATTACAACTGTCAAATGAAGTTCTGCTTCGTCATTGGTCAATGGCCGGTTTTATTCACTTCCGTCATAGGGTGTTGCGGTGCACATGCGACGAAAGATCTGCAATGTTTCCTCCCTTTCTTAGTTTCTTACTCGTTGATATCTCGGACAGTGTTCGTTAGCTTTTCGGGAAATACAAGTCTACGGTAATTCAAGGCAGCGGAGTATATTAATTGTTGAAATTCATATTTTGGTTTTATATTCGATAACTTTGATGAATAAATATGTATTTTTAATGCACACATTGGGATTCTACAATGAAATATACTAGAATTAACAAGGTAAGATGGTGTTTGTCTTGTTTTACTAGATAAACTCGACTCCTCTGCTCCCTGTGTGAACTCGCGTAATAGTTAACCAGCCCCGAAGCACGAGAACGAACGAATAGCCTCGTTAAAGCCTGTTTTCCACTTCAATCGTATCGTAAGTAGCATTTTCTTTTGTGTCGAAGTCATTAGTTCCACACTGCAGCTCAGGAAACAAAGAAATACGCTACGTTTCGGTTCAATACGATTGAAGTGGAAAACTGGCTTAAATGAACGACTGCATACATGTACCGTTCATATTCGTTCAACTCAACGCTTTCTATTTGCTGAGACAAATTTAATTATCATATTCCTTTCTCGCTTTAGTTGAGATATCGTAGCGTTAAAATTCTTTGTGAGCTTTGTATTCCTGATATAAATTTCTGCACCATCTGTACGTACACGAAATAGTGGTGTACAACCACTATACAGCACAACATCAATGGAATTTAATGTCAAATAAATAAAAATAATGTGGACATTGATAACCATAGCGTAACTATTGCCTTTAACACATAGCCTAACTGGAGAACTGCTTGACTATAGCATTTCTAATTTTCTTTACTTTTCAAAAGACCTTACTCCCGGCCACTCCCATCCTGTAATTTACACTTAACGTTGAGTGAGTCCTTTTCAAAATTATTTCTTTATAAACTAAATGCAATTTCGTATGCGCATGCATTTGTGATTAATTGAACTGGTTTGGGCTTTTGTTTGTTGAGTCAAAACGAACAATGGCCAAGAATCAATACTCAAGCTATATGGACTATGGTATAGAAGTAACTTATAACGCAGGCTAAGACTAAATTTGAAAGGCTGTATGTAAACTTTTACTGAAAACGAATTCTATATACAGTCTAGACAGTCCACATTGACACATTGTGTGTTTCAACCAGCGTATGTTATGCATGCGTTCTCTATCGTCTCTATCCCTAATTAACGCGCTGGCAAAAAACAACATTTTAATATTTCTTCTGTTTGTTTTGATACGTAGACTGAGATTACATTTTAATTTATGACATGTTCGGCATCAGTTGTTTAGCACATTGAAATGACCAAAGGCAGCAGAATTAATGTATGAATATTTGGCATGCACAAATGTATAGGAATCATTTGAATTTATTCGAGTGGGAAACATTGTTAAGTATGTTTAATTCGTAGCTGTTTATGCATGGGTAGTATTATAGGGGCCGTTCGGGCCTTATTTTTGGGGCGCAGGAGGGGCGGAGAAAGGGCGGAGGAGTGTGGTGGAGTGAGGAGGAGGAGTGAGGAGGAGTGAGGTGGAGGATTGAGGAGGAGGAGTGAGGAGGAGGAGTGAGGAGGAGGAGGAGTGAGGAGGGGGAAGAGTGACGAGGAGTGAGGAGTGAGGAGGAGGAGTGAGGAGGAGGGGCGGAGGAACGGCGGTGTGTGGTGGAGGGAGGTAGTGGAGTTGACGTCACTCATATTAACATACGTCATAATTATATGCAATGACGTCACGCGGGCATGTTCGGACAAAACTTGCTGAGTAGGCATATTTAGCGTCCCTCCACGTATGTGATACAATAGAGGGATTAAGATTGGCTTACTATGAATAGTTCGAGTCCCTAACAAGGCAAAATTGTTATCGAATTTAAGATATAGTAGACAGGTATATTGAAGGATTTTTCGTATCTTACATAGCGAGGAATCTATTCGTCACAAAAATCGAGACATATTTTAAACCTAACTAAACAGTTACTAAGTTAACCTGGTTGTCAACGTCGTTGTTATGGTCAATATTTGCATGTTGTTCAACAACCTCCTACATACATATATACTGTTAATAAGATGACCGAGTCAGATCATAAGAAAGCTTATCAAGAATACTTGAAGGAAAAAACTTTCAGAACAGTTGTAATATATTTTGCCATAAAAAATAAATATGTTTTTATCAAATATGCGGTAGTTATATACGTTGCTATGTGTTGCTAATAGTATATAGTATGTAGGTAATTAAGGGATTAGGCAAACAAAAATCTGCATAACTAAGTGTATCCCAATGGATAGATAGGGATTACTTATAACGCAGGTGTATGCCTTAAAATCGGGCGCGAGGCTTATTTCTTTAAGTATTACAAAGTTAATAATTCTTGTCTGTATAAATATAATATTATCCACTTAAGAGTTTTGTCCCGTTTTTGTTTCTAACTTTAACCACCCTTTTGAGCCATCATTCATTTCTGTATTGTCCACGTTCTTTGCATATTTTGTATTTGATTTTGTTCTCCTCCTGGACGAGTTTGGTTGACGGATGGGTATATTAGTTATCCCGCTTTTATTCCACTTTGACTGCTATTTACTTTTCCCAATTAATCTGTACAACTCTGTTAAATCATTTTCTAAGTCTAAAGCTGTTGGTTTAGCACGAATAAGATAAGGTTGTCTTTCTTGGGACGAAAGTTCATGGACGTCTGCCAAATGGTTTGCCAATCTTTTTAAAGCTCGCTTGCCGAAGATGGGACAATCTTTACACTTCCGAGGCATAATGTCAAATGATAAATGTCAACTGATTCCTAACATTAAATAGTTCTGGCCCCAAAGGCCTTTTTGAAGGTTTGCCGGGACTTGGGAGAGGGTGCGAAAAATGGGTTAGGGGAAAGTAGCTACCACACAGGATAGTATTTTATTTTTATAAATCAAACACAAACAACCATTAAGAGTCAATGTCACTACGATACCGTGTGTTTCTGAAAAGTCTTTTCAAAAGAAATTTTCTCTTGTCAATAGCGGCCTCTAACGCTTCCCTGTAGTCGAAATTATCATCATTGACAATCAATCAATCAATCAATCAATCAATCTGTTTAATTAAAACCAATTTGCAGTTTTTAAAGGAAAACTGAATTACATGGAGTACTAATATAGCATAAAAATTTATATTAAAATGTACATATATATATATTATATAAAATAATGTTTATTTAGTTAGGACTGTTAATTAACTATAAAGCTAATAATATTTCCTAGTCACGAAGTTTTTTAACCGTTCAGTGGTTTCTGACCATAAAGGTTGTTCGGCCGTTCTGTCATTCCTTAAGTCATAGTCATGAGTTTTTACCCCGGGACGAATTTCCATAATTTGGGTCAAAGGGTTGTAGGGTGAAACATCACGTCGCAGAGATTCGACGAATTTCTTGCAAGAGATGTCTCTTCGAGTACTCAGATACTGTAAGTTTGAAATTTCAAGGGCTTCATCATATAACAGATCTGGATAAGCTATTCTCAATGCTCTCTTTTGAACAGATTCGAGAATGTCAGATAATGATTTAGGTATTGACGACCATACAGGGGATGCATATTCAATTCTGGATCTGATGAATGAGATATATATTTGGACGATGTCAGATGCTTGGAGACCAGCCTTTTTTAACAGACGCAATGCGTATAAGCGAGAATTTGCCTTTTTCAATACCATGTCGACATGAGTATTCCATGACAAGTCATTTGATATCCATACACCTAGGAGTTTGAAAGAGGACACAGTTTCCACCGGTTTACCTGCAACATAGATCGGGTTTTCATCATCAGATCCTTTATATTTAAGAAAGTTGATCAACATTTGTTTGCATTTCTTATAATTTAGTTCCATTCCACGTTCTAAGGCGTAGTCCGAGATTTCATTTACGACTAATGGCATTAAACTGGATGAAAAACGTGGTATAATCTCTAGGGCTGAGGTGTCATCCACAAACTTGATCCTACCGGGCCAGTTTTTGAGTAAGGAATTAATGAGAACAGCAAACAATAATAGACCCAACTTTGTACCTTGTGGCAAGCCACCATTTGTTTTCTTCCAAGAGGACATAAAAGTTCCCACCCGGACACATTGTTCGCGATCGCAGAGGAAGGCTTTAATCCACCGAATTATAGAGGGATGGTACCAAGCAGGGTTAACTAGGGAAATATATATATATATATATATATATATATATATATATATATATATATATATATATATATATATATATATATATATATATATATATATATATATATATATATATATATATATAATTACTATTCTTACTTACTATTCTTACTTATATATATATATATGGCAAATAAATTATTATTATTATTTATAATAAATATTTATTATAAATTATATTATGTACGTGGTGATTTCATAAAAACAGAACTTTATTACATAACCATGCAAAACTTGAACTTATATATTTTCTTTAAAAAAATCTCCATTACAATTAGCCTTTGAGCAGGCTACAGCCGGCTACAAGTCCTATATACAACCACTCAGTGACGCAGAACATTTGAATAATTTCGCGAAGCTTTCTGTAAATGTTAAACACCACCTGTGCAAGAAGCCGAAAGCAAGTGGCATGCCTGACGTACGACAATCTACGCAGGCTATGACATATAATATTTCATTAAACATCGCTCAACAAGTTTTTGTTGTGATGAAACTCGCTTCATTTCCTTGGTGAAATTTGACCCGAGCTAACCTGGCTTCCCCTCTGTCGCACGTAATAAATTGTGGTTTTGACGTCGTCGTTTATAACTTCGGTGCCTGGGTACAACACATTACAACTGGGTTTGGCAAAGTTTCAAACTATATGGACATTAAACCTACATTTCTGGACGAACTTGGACCGTTTCTACTAACACAGCGATTCATCTAAGCTAAGGTAAGCGATAACAGAATTAAAATTCAATGTTCATATGTATGAATGGATGCGTTGTAGAACATTGTAGGCCAACACGCATGTCGTCATATTGATCTGGCGATAGCTGGCTAAATTTAAGCAGTTTAAAAGGGCATATGGCTATACGATATGGCAATTTATTGAATGCCTCTATACCCTCTACAAATGTGCATCTTTCTGTTGTAACTTTCAGCGCGGGAGTATGTATATACCTGTGATATTCTTGCTCAATTTTCGAGTATTTTTGCGCAAATATTTCACAATTGACGCGTCCACGAATTACACAAGCCATGTCAGAGCCATGTGACCAACATTGCGTGCCTTGGTGTTTGTCGTTTTGTGCATCATAAACTTGTTTAAATTTAACATGTGTATACGCCATATTTTGGTATATTTGGCATATTTTGGTATATTGTAGTTGGTATTCTACTATTCTTGACTTTTATATATAGCTTAGGTTCAATAGATTATATTTTTTTTGCAGTATACTATATTTGTTGTACTGTAGAGAATTTAAGGAAATAGACGTACCGGCAAATGCGCGGATATGCCTGTTGCAATATTTTCATGTGATCACTATAAAAACAAAATGGAACAAAAGTAACCAAGCATTTACATCTTATAACAAACAAACTTTATTCAAACAGATTATACTATAGTACAAAATTTGTTAGGACATCGAAGCAATAGTACCAATACTTGGCAACCAAAGTCTTCACGGATAATTTTATCGTATCATGGTATGGAACATTGCTATATCGACCAGTTTCAATAGGTAATCTATGAGCTGAAATTCTAAGCTTTGTATAAAAGCTTGACGATGTTTAACATTGCTAATTTCAGAAATATATTTTTCAAATTCAAATTTATTTTAAATTTTTTGAATGATTTGAACTGACTTGATGATTTTGAATTGTTTGGACTCCTTGATGCACGCGAGGCCGAGGGTATATATAGCGTGACAATATTAAGTTCATGAGGTTTGTCAGGTTTTATATATGGGAAGCAATCTAAATATGGTTGATAATATATAATGACAAGAATATTAAAATCAATTCAATTGTCTGTTCCAAAAGTAAAGTTCAACAAGATAACTGTCGACAGAACTTTGTATTTTTTTTTGTGTGCATCCAATAATTCGTGTCATTCCCTTAGGCTGTTTCAAGTCACGTCTATTAATGTATGGGCGTATTTTAATGCACGCAATAACGAATCGTGCATTGCAGTCCGAATTTGAGTATGGCCGTACAAAAGGGTTTGAAAATATCGAGTTGCGACGAGACAAAATATACGATGCTATTTATTGGCTATCATGATATATATCAAAATGATATATTATCGATAATATGTAGCCTATATGTGATAACATACTATAATGATGTACTAATCTTGTCATCTAAATAAAAAGTTTGTTTTATGTTTGCTACGCGAAGACAGCTCGCTGCACCGAAAGCTAAGATTTTTGGCTGTTTCTCCGTGAAGCTGTACGTGAATTAGGCTAAAGCACATGTATCCTGCTCCGAGCTTTTCCTGCATGCTCAATTTCGTAAAAGAGATTACATCTCTAATCAACTAATGCTTGTTTAAAGGTGCGGTGAAATCATCATTGAGTATATTAAACTTTGAGGAAGCTGCTATAACTGCCCGACGAAGTCGAAGGGCCTTCGCACGAAACGTCGACGTTTTCAATCCTCAACTTTCTGGTGTTATTAAATTGTCACTATACCTACGCTCACACTGCAGACCGCTCGAGTTTACTTTATATTTTGTTGACTGTTTGGAGGGCTTTATGCAAATTGCCATATAATTTAACTCACTCACATATAAATATTTTTGATACCATTGTGGTTTTGTTAAATTCTAAACCATGGAACATTATCAGAACAGTGGCAACGAGTTATCCAAAGTTGTGAACAGACCTACAAACCACACAAGTTATGACAAACCAAAAATTACGGGAACCACTGAGTATTTTAATAAAATATAAAACAACGGTAACTCCGAAAATATATAAACATTTTAATATTCTAGCTTTCGACTAAGATTCAGTCATCATCAGGAATTCCTGATGATGACTGAATCTTAGTCGAAAGCCAGAATATTAAAATGTTGAATCTTAGTCGAAAGCTAGAATATTAAAATGTTTATTTTCGGAGTTACCGTTGTTTTATATTTTATACAAACCACACATATATATATATATATATATATATATATATATATATATATATATATATATATATATATATATATATATATATATATATATATATATATATATATATATATATATACATATATATATACCAGCTGTAAGTGTAACTTTCCGAAAACATCCTGCATGAACCATTCGATCTGCTTGCAATATTAAACCGATAGTAACTGGGCTTGTGAGTTTTTCCGAAAATTTAAATTGGTTACTTTCGTTTCACCCTATACTCACATTATAACTGGGCGGTAACCGGCATATAAACCATGTGTAAGCCGATTAGTGACCGCATATGGCTCATGCATGTTTTTGGAACATTGCCCGGCATTGGTTTGCCATCTGTATGATCAATATATTTTCTTAATATTTTTACATTGCATGTATTCGAAAACTAGATACCACAATTTCACATTATTCTATATATTTTATGCATTATCAGACTAATGGCAAAGTATATACCATGGCAAGAAAATTATGGCCCTTTGAAATGTGAATGCATGGAATAGCACCAAAACGAGACTATAGTCTATAGGCTATAGTTGCCAAGTCTAGCATAAACGTCGTTTTTTTAACGTTTAATTTCTCAAAGAGAACACATAGTATTATATTTATACTTTATAAAACTGTCTGTAATTTTATTATCTTGGTTGAAATTAATTTCGGAAGAAGAAAGAATGACAACTATTTTTCGAACCGATCTGTATAGTTTAGCTATCTCCAAAATTTGTCAAATTTATGTAGTGAAAAAATTAAAAGTTTTGCTATATAGACATGCTATATTATATACACTGTATGTCGTTTCCTATAAGGGTTGCGCGCGTGGGAGTTTTTGAGCTAACAGCAAGTTAGAGCCAGCTGTTTTAACTTGAGTACCTCACGTAGAAAGTCCGATTCTTACTGGTTAATATATAACATGTATGCAATAGATGGCTTTCACCTGTTGGGTGTAAAATGTGAACTTTGAACGCAATTTGCAAAGGGCGATCAATGTGAGGGCATATACAACGTCTTTCATATACGTGGAACATATTTATGATGCCTTGAAGTATGTGAATAAAAGTTTCATCAGTCTGTAGGTAAGGGTAGATTTTTTCCAATACATCATTATCCATTCGATTTTACATACTGGATTTTACATCCGTCAAGACGTAGCTATTATCTACAGATCAATATTAGAAACAACAACAGCAATACGAATATACCGGTACCAAGTTGTAGCTATATATACGCGATTTGTTCTAGATATTTTGGCACTTTCTCAATGTATGCAGTATGGACATGCCAACCTATACACTATAAACTCCAACGTTAACGCTGCATATTAATTTATAGTACATTTCGGTTGCGCATACACTGGTCCATATGTTATATATCGAGAAAGTGCCGATAATTTTTATTTAATAGTTCGCCCCAGACAAATGACTCGTTTGTCTACATTTTTTGTACACGCATATAGGCAAATTATGTGAATGATTTCACAATTTATCTATAGTTTTCAAACCCAAATTCGTCCAGACAGCTCATTTGTCTCAAGTAGCGTAAAATAGGCAATCTTCAAAGCCGTTGGGAATGCTGTTTTCATTATACGCAAATACTGTTATGTCTATATATGAATTGGAATTGTCAGCTTCAGCATTATCACTTGCAGAGGATGACGCAATTAGATATTTTTTGCGTCACTTTGCGCATGATACAAGACTGATTATGTATAGACCAATATTCCACTAAAATAATTATTACGTCTTGTCACGATGTGACTAACCTGCGCCTACGATGTGACGCAAAGCATATACTCTGTCGAATCGGCCGTTGTATCTGCCTTTACAAGTGAAGAATATTTGAAGCTGAGAATTTCAATTCATGTTATAGACATAACAGTTTCTGTATATATAATGAAAACAACATTCCCAAATCCGAATTAACATCTTGTTAACTCAAATTGGACAGCTTGTCATGTTGTGGTTTTGAAACATGAGTTTGTGTAGGTTTACAGTAGGAATTTTGCATGGGTAAATGCTATGTTTCGAAGGATTTGTAAGAAATGTTTGAGTAAACTGACTTAAATGTTAAACACTGAGTCAGTTTCCTCAAACATTTCTCAGTACAAATCCTTCAAAACTTAGAATTTACCGATGCAAAATTCCTACTTTCATCACAGAAACTTTGATAGTGTAAAACCAGGCTTAATTAAACTTAAGTCAGAGGCATTTTACTATGATAAAACTATAATATATTCAAAGCAAAACAGTGAGCATGGCCCACGGTTTCGCTGTACTGATATTTCTATTAACTGATTCCTTTGCCTTGTTAGGAGGAATATAGTCACGAGAATCAGGGCATTTTTAAACTATATAACTACTGGGGCATTTGCCCCAGTAGGCTCTTTGCTTGCCCCAGTAGTGAAGCAATATTTTCAGATGAGCTGGGCCCTTTTGATCATCAGTAAAAAGTCATCCTTGTTGAAAAAGCTGCACCTGCCTGCTTTCTCATATCCTCTCACATTCTCGATATTTCATTTTATAAAAGTCAGGACAGCATGGTCTTTACGTACGCGTAACTGTGTGAGGAAAAAGGCCGTCATTGAGACTTATAGCCCCAGTAGTTGCAATTTCTTAAAAAATGCCCTGAAGTCGAGAAATAAAACTCAACGCTACGACGCCTACGTTGTCAATACAAAGTTGACTCGATCAAGCGCGGGTCGAATATTTAGCGAACCGGACTGCCGTTCTATACCGATTGGAGAGAGCACAAGTTTAAATTTAAACATTATACTTAGGATGGGAACAATGTTTCAACTCTATTTCAGAGCCATCATCAAGGAAACATGATACAATATAATGAAACGTCGCCGGAGCAAAACATGGACCCGCGATAACAATTTCTTTATACGAATACTTTTTAAATGATATGGTTCTGCCGGGTTAATTAAAAATTGCGTTTGGCAAATTTGGGGAATATTTAATGGTTTTCCTAATATTTCATGAAACTGTCTACAATTTTGACAGTTCTACTTACAGGGGATTGTGCCGAAGAAAAGTTTTTTTGCCACTTAATTATGCTGTGTGTATACGCATCTATTTTCTGCTACTAATAGTCTAATACTATACACTGAGGGAGTGAAAATGAATGCGCAATGGCGAAAATAATCTGGAATAATCTGGAAGTTATCAGTCATTGACAATTAATTGAGTTTCCCCCAAAATTCTTCGTATAGATGACAAAGTGGAATTTATAGTGCCATCTGTGCTCCATATTTTCTGAAGCGTAGAAAAACAAAAGATCCGAATTTGTGACCATTTTTAGCTTTCTAGTTTCTGTTAGAGTAATATTAGGGAGCTTTTAAGCAAGCGACTTTTGTCAAAATGGACTTCAGATTACCGGGGGGGGGGGGAGTTTGTGGTAGTCTTGAACACATATGACAAAACATAAGATTTTTAAAGTTTTTTGCTTCCTTATACGAGCGCTATGAGGCAATAAATGCCACCAAATTTAGTTCTATACCAATTTTCGAGTGACGTCGTCCCGACTCGTCCGTGTTGACAGAAATGTCGCTTGCTACGTCTATATGACCCTGTGTTGAGTATTGGGCTATTGAGTATTGCGTATCGTACTAGCGTATGCCAGCGTATGGAAGATATCACCATTATACGCTGGTATACGCTAGGCTAGGAGACGTTAAGCCCATTTTCCCACTAGGTGAATTTGTTCGCGCGAACAGTAAAAAAGTAGCGGAACTGTGCAACTTTTTCGCGGCGAATTTTTTCGCTGACCAATCGGCAATCACATTCCCAAGATTTGTTTTTCGCTTCGCGCGAACGAATTCGCCCAGTGGAAAATGGGCTTACGGCATAGGTTGTATGCGCTTCGAGCACGGTGGCATACGCATGGATACGTACGGCGAGGCAGAATTTTTTTCTTAAGCATGCTTAAAAATTTTGTGCCTATGCAGATGTACGGTTTATACGCTACCCATACCTTTCTCTTATACTAGCCTCGCTATTGTGCGTATTTTCCTGAGGTTTTATTAAACTTGTATTATAAAATAACATGTATATATCGCGTGCTCTGATTGGTCAAGAAAAGCGCGCAAAATCACTCGCCTTAGGCTCGTGTTTCGCGCGCTTTTCTTAACTCTCGCAACATTCCCGCGTGTTTGGATCAGGCCATCCAAACACGGAAACCATAAAGTAATTGTATTTATAAAATAAGATGTATATAACGCGTGCTCTGATTGTCTGAAACCCGTGTTTGGATCAGGCCATCCAAACACGAAAATTTAAAGTGCCTTCGCGGGAATTTTAAACCCTGTTGTTATTTTATAAAACAATTCGGCTCGTGTTTCGCGCGCTTTTCTCAACTCTCGCAACATTCCCAAGTGTTTGGATCAGGCCATCCAAACACGGAAACCATAAAGTAATTGTATATTCTGACAAACGGGTTACTATGACGTTTTTAGTAAATGTTGGCGGGCAACAACAGTGGCGACAAGACAGATGGTGCCGTGCAACGTCAGAAATGAGTGACATTTGCAAGGGCCACCTCAAGTGCTTAAAATTTACTACAACTTTTTATTCAATAAATGGCATGAAATAAAAGTCTACTACACTTATAAGAAAATAAATTTCTCTATCTGTTGACAATCATCGATTTGGTACATGATAGATTTAGTGAAAATTCAGGGGTGACGCTAGAGTGGGGTGTACGTATGGGGGTGGAACACCCCCTCCACTCATGAATGAGTCGACAAATTGTTGCATTCATTCGGTAAACAATGAGCTGTTTGGATATGGAGCAAATTATCGAATTGAATTATCTGAATTAAACCCAAACGTGAATTTAAATATAAAACTTAATCTTGAAAATGTGCTCTATCGAATCGTAGTGGGTTATTTCAAGTTGTTTTTTTGTTACAGCAGTCATGACTGTTGGTGGATTAAGAATAGTTTCAATCGTTGAGGAAGTCATTTGAAATCTTCCCCCAAAAGGAGGAAACGCCATTTCAGAGACTATATAGACTTCAATTTTTTCGTGGGAGCATGTCTCCGGACCCCCATAGAACTTTATGTAGTTAAAAACAGTCAAGTTTGTCAAGACGGATCTGGCAGTTTTTATTGTGAAAGCGGAGACATTTTCGTAGTCGCTTCGCGCGAATAAATTCGCCTGATGGAAAACAGGCTTTATTTGTGCCATTTGAACCGTATCACTTTGCAATATTGACCTATTCTCGAATTTACAATTTTAGTTTTGGATTGAAAATAGAAAGCTGGCTTTTACATCTCATGACGTTATATAAGTGATGTCTTATAATAATAAACCTGTTAAACTGGTCACCATTCTGATTAACCCTTCCAGTTTATTCTGGTTCTGAGTGGACGAACGGTCTTGTATACAGCCTCTCCCTTACGTCATAAAGACGTAAAATTGCCAAGCTGGACAGTTACTGCGCATGTTAAAAAATGTTCGCTCGTCTGTGTGGGCTCAATCTCGTAACCCAGAGCAATGCCTGTGCGCGGGCTAGGATGGCATTGGCTCTGGGGAAATTGAATTTTTGTTGTGCTGTGATTGGTTTAACGTTTATCAATCGTGCATGCCGACAAAGAACCGGAACCCCTAAATTTAGGGGTTCCGGTTGTCAATTTCCCCAGAGCCAATGCCATCCTAGCCCGCGCACAGGCATTGCTCTGGGTACGAGATTGGTGTGGGCTATAAAGCAGCGCTATTAAGCAGGCGTTTTGGCGTTTCAATAAAACTCCTAGGAGCTTTGCAGGCTAGAAGAGGGCCTGAAAAACAAAACAAAAAATTGCGATTATATTTCTGAAAGGGAAATAATCAGTAGTTACTTTTTGCAGGCTTGTACGGCGTCAAAATCAATTGGACTATGAAAAAATGTTAAAGGGTTTTTGTTCATGACAATTTCAAGCGAATTTTATATACATGAGGGTCCTGAAGGGGTAAAATGGGAACTGGGATTGATCTATTTTTAGACTGGGTAAATGGGATTTGGGTTGCTGGGACTGGGATTTGGCCACTGGGAATGGGAAATGAAGTCCTCAAAAATGGGAATGGGTTTGAGGTAATGTGAGTCAATTCCCAATTTTTCTACGTTTTAAGTATTTTAAAATACAATTTTGATCCGTTTTTGGTGTCTTTGGTCATGATTTTTGTTGTTAACTATATTATTCACAGCATTACCTACGAACAGGCATACTCTGGCGCCCGGAATTCTGGGTTTTCTGATTATGCGTGTCTCAGAATGCTGCAAATGCCATTTCCGGGATTCAAATTTAAAAATTTTCCGTGCCTTCGGCACGAGCCCCCCCCCCCCCCAAATTTCATAAAGTGTGCGCCACTTGCACACACGATGGCTTAAAACTCTTAAAACTGTTTATTGTACTGATAAATAAAGGTTTTTTTATTGACTGGGATTTCAATAACTCGGACTGGGATTTCTAATAAAAATCCAACTGGGACTGGGATTTTGCCAAAATTTCAGGTGGGAAATGGGATTGGGACCCCCCCTTCAGGACCCTCATACATCGATATTTAGTTGACAAGGTTTTGGCGGATTGAATGCCCTTTTGGCGGTTGAATGCCCTTTTGCGAAATAAACAGATTTTATTGTCCTTTGTTTTCTGTTTTATGCCTGCCTGCATGTTCATACAGAGACAAAATTTCTCGAGAAATTTTATCAACCCAGACTTTGAAAACTTGTCATACACGGAAGTGACGGAACGAAAGTTGTTTAAAATCAATTGACATTTTTTATTTTTTATATTTCTTTAGAAAACATGTTTTCGATATTATTGCCCGTAATTCTTCTCAGTTTGACGAGCTGTTCTTTCGCAAGCAGTAAGTAGGACTTCACTATATCAGTAAATCTACTAAATCATACAACCATACTGTACCAGACCATACCAGACCATATCACACCATACCATAATTACATCATACTTCATCATGCCATAACTATACTTGAGTGCCCTTTAATTTGTTTTTCATTTACTCACCCAAAATTTAAACTCTATTTTTTTTCAGAGAATTGCTCAAAAACCTATACAGTCAATAAGTACAAGTACCAAAATTACGAACACAAGGAGGACACAGAGGAAGTTGTATGCTTCAGAGTTGATTCCGGACGTGTTCGATTGAGATTCGGTTTTGCGATGTGCGATTGGGACGATTTTCACGACAAGCCCTACGGCTACGACCATAATTACTACGACTCACTTCAAGTTTATGATGGCTGCAATACGACGGAAAATGAATTGATGGGGGAAAAAGTTCACTGTAGTAAATGTTGCAAATATCATCCGTTTTGTGACAGAGAAATTATATGGACGTCCAAGAAAACAAGCTGTCTTAAAGTGGTTTTTCAACGTAATTTAAGAGGCAAACATCGTTCTCTTCGGTATGGTATGGCAAATGTCAAAGACAGAGATAAGAAAGGTGAGCCACAAGCATGGTTCGAATTAATCAAATAGTGAAAATTGCACATCATTTTTCCAAAGATGTGCAAAAAAATCAGACTTGGAGACTATTAGTGAACAACCATCCATATTTATAGATTTAAACAAAGCCAATCTGTTATCTTAACATACTGTAACATAACGGCAAGTCCAGCGAAAGCCAACCACGGGCCCCGGGACAAAATGATGATTGGTGAACACGGGCCCCCTCTCCCTCTCGGCTCTCCTGTTGGCTATTTTTAATCGCAATCAACGAGAAAATTGCCAGCGAATTACTTGTAAGAAATCGCCGCATAACTAATAAAAACGCAATGTGAACGATATTCAGTTGACTGTTTTTGCTGAGAAAACGATCGAAAAATCGTTTATTTCACATTTGGTATGTTTTACGATCAATCACGACGATCAGCGGATAGTGTGCAAGTAGGCGTATTTCATTTAGGACAAACATATAGCGATGATAAACGATACGAACATTTTCCCGCGATTTCCGGGCCCCTCTGAGCACTCCGGGCCCCGGGTATTTTGCCCCCCCCCCCTCTCGCCGGCCTTGCATAACGGCTTATTGACTGAGCGTGAGGTCTGTACTGTGAAATATCAGACTGAGGTTTTTTAGTTTTTCTACTGTACAGACCGAACAAGCGAGGTCAATAATCGGTTTATTATATTGCTGAACCGAGTCTGTGAGCATATGCTTTTCGCGCGAATTAAATCGGTTATCGTCAGTTTCACTGGGTAACAATATACGGTAGGCATGCATGCTCAATCAAAAACAATTCGGTTGTTTGAAATTTTTATCTGTAAATTTTAATGACACACAATTGGAAAATTAAAAAGCAAACTTTTTTTCTGTTTGCAAAGCAAAAATTTCCCGCCAGATAAACGACATCCGGGACACCAGATACGGAAAATACGGACCACGGTCCGGATATGGGTTTTCATGGACCGCTTGTCAATCAGAATAGAGAATTTTGAAAAGTCATATAATAATAATAATTTATAAACGAGTGCTTTTTCATGCACATTTCTAGCAGCATGTTTGCAGACTGGAAGGTGTCCAATTTTAGCCACTAAGACAGGCAAACTCATGACTGACTAATGTTAAAATTTCCTTAATTTCGCCACAGGCCGTCAGGCCCAGACCCCGGAAGAACTTCGTGTCGCCTGCGGGGCAGACTAAATGACATTCATATTTTATTTGTCGATTTTCTGCGACAGCTACTCTCGGCAGCTGAGTCGCTGAGTTGTCGACAGCTATTTCGGTAGTGGTACAGATGGTCGACCATCCTACAGTACATTTTTTCAAATTGGAAAAAAGTGTCCGTCTTTTATGGAATGAAAGTGCCCTAGACCTATACTTGTGACTTTTGCCTCAGATCGTAAAATATGGTGTGGCAGAGAAAACTAAATTATTCCCTGATCCCTATTGCACCAGAATAGTTTCGAATCTTGTAGTATGAATAGCATTAATATTCAATCGGTGTATTTATATTATGTACATAATTTTACAGCGCACCGGCGGCAGTGGTGGCCTAATTGTCGAGGTATGTATAAATATTATTACCTCGAAATACTGGCCTATGAAAGATAGAATAATTTATTAATAAGTTTCGGCAACTATTTTAAATAGAACAATTCAGAGCCGTGCCTTTTGGGAACGCTATTTTCAGAGGAATTAATGTAACGGAGAGATGTTGCTTCGCTCAGCTTCTGAACGTTGTACATATTCTCCGTATTAATAGACCTTTCCCCTTAAAAAGTGAAATTTTGATCTAGATAAGTCTGGACAAAAATTTCATCACAGCTTGAAAGAGCATCACAAAATTAGTAATATTCCGACGTTTCGTGGCGAAATGTTGTAAAATGCGGATAATATAGCCTTGCGAAGTTTGCCGTTTTTCAGTCATTTTGCATTACAAACGGGAAATTCATAATCAGATGATCAAACTGATTATCAATTTCCCGTTTGTAATGCAAAAAATGACTGAAAAACGACAAACTTCGCAAGGCTATATTATCCACATTTTACAACATTTCGCAACGAAACTTTGGAATATCACTAATTTTGTGATGCTCTTTCAAGCTGTGATGAAATTTTTGTCCAGACTTGTCTAGATCAAAATTTCACTTAAAAGGGGAAAGGTCTATTGGTTATTCGGACAAGTGCTTCTTCAAGTGCTATCCGGTACAGGGGCGGCGCTAAAGGGGGGGGGGGGAAACCCACCAGTCGTGTGGTATAGTGGTGGGCAAAATAGCCGTGAATCCTATTCGGCAAATTGTATTCGTAGTCAGTAAAACATAAATTTGATAAAAAAATTTTGAGTGAAACAAATTAAAAATTAATAATTATAGCTAAAAGTTTCAGAAATTTACAAAAATATGAAGGAAAAAATGAAACATTAAAGGAACAAACGATACGTTAACCTCAACCCCCTGGTCACAATTTTGGAAGAAATATTAATTAGTGCATGATTGAAATAACTCGGCAAAATTCTCTTACCCCCCCCCCCCCCTCCCCCTTCAAAAGCTGTAGGGCCGCCTCTTATCCGGTATGGTGTAAACGTGATCTATGGTGCAAGGGGAAATCTTATTGAATACGTACTGGTATTAACTTATTATTAGGATAACAGCTTGTTCTTAGACCTTTTTTGTCCTCAAAATTTTTTTCCAATCAATGCCGAAATTTGTCTGACTAGATTGGCTACAAGTAATCAAGTATCGGAAGCTGAAAAGTAAGTGTCCTCTTTTTTCAATGGATGCCCCCACCCCTTCACGTTACTTCCGGCACCCCTGATAGTGACTCATCTGCCACCCCTGATCGTCACTCATCTGCCTTGGCAGAATATAATCATGGCCAACTCTAGCTTATTTCTAGTTTGACGGCATGCAATTAGAACTTAGTCTTAATAGAAGTCTATAACTTGCTGTTGTGGGTGAACTTAATATCACTATATTTATATAGATGAATATAAACCACGTCCAGCTCCACCCCCATATCGTCGTCCACGTCCACGTCCAGCTCCACGTCCTCGTCCTCCCCCTCCCCCACGTGAAGGTAACGACATTTGATTCTCGCTGGATAGTTCTTGTGTGTGAAATATTATGAGAAAAAATATCAATAAGCCCGGATGAGAGTGCACGAGTGTTGACAGTCACGTGAACTTGGGTAGCTGTTCTTAATGCTTTCCCAACACTATCATGTATTCTATTTAAGTTAAAACATAGTTGGAACACTCCATGACTACAGCCAACCCTCATCAATTCTCATCCTCGTTTGACCGAGCCTATAGATAGTTTTGCTCGATACTTGTAATTTGTAATTGTACCCAGGGGCGCCGGAGCCACGGGAGCAGCTGCCCCCTTGCCTAAACAGTGCGGGGGCAGCACGGGGGCAGCAGGTTGCCTTTTTTACCAGAACTGCACTTCGAACGTCGTGCGTTTTTCACATGAATTGAAATTGAAAACTGTTTTTAAACAATTTAGTTCATATTTGAATCTGAATTCCTCTCAGAAACGTTACCAATCAGTTTCCACCTATGAAAAAAGGGGGAAAAGAAAGCCTTCCTAAATAACTGACAACTGTCATGTTGCTTTACAATACATTTTAGTCTTTAGTGCCATGCAACGAATAAAAATGTTCCAATCCATGCCAAAATTTCTCTAACTGTATTAGCTACAAGTAATGAAGTATCCGTTATACAGCAAAATGTTAACGAACATTGCCCCCCCCCCAAAAAAAAAAAAATTAGAGTAAGTGCCCTTTTTAAATGGCTGCCCCCGCCGCTTCATGTTGCTTCCGGCGCCCCTGAATTTGTACCAACTATATCATTTCACAAAAATAACGTAGATTGCATTAAACTATAGTGGTGAGGAAATCCAAATTGGAAACTAACGAGAACAAGAGTCGATGTGTTGAGAAGTGAGAGTTTGCATCAGAGTCGATGTCTCGGTCAGACGAGAACAAGAATTGATGAGAGTCGAGAAGCGAAACTTTGCATGAGAGTCGATGAGTCGGTCAAACGGGAAGACGTTTGCATGAGAGTCGATGTCCCAGTCAAACGAGAACAAGAGTTGCATAAGAGTTGATGAGAGTTGAGAAGCGAAAGTTTGCATGAGAGTCAATCAAACGAGAACAAGAGTTGCATGAGAGTTTATGGGAGTCGATGTTACTGCGCGATAGGGAAAATTCTCATCAACTGAAGTCAATGGGAGTCGATAAGAGTTGGGTGAAACGCGAGGGAGAGTTGCAACTCTCATCAACTCTCGTGCATTCTCATTTGACTGGGGCTTTAATTATGAATTTTACTTTCTCTAGAGACGAAGAATTTTAATGACCTACATGGAGCAATAAGGTCTCCCAACTATCCCGGGTACCCACCAAACTTGGAATATGCTTACATAATTGAACTGCCCGAAAAAAATAAGAGAATTCAGCTCACGTTCAGGTAAGTATTGTTTATAGTATGCTGTTTAATACGAACTTTACAACACATTGCTGTTTATTTGTTTATTTATTATTTATTAGCTTACAATCATACAAAAGTGCTATAAAATATATAACAATGATTGAAGGTATGGTCAACAGGACATGAGTCCCATGTGGGGACCAACCTGATACAATACAATAAGTAGACATACATTAAAGACAATGACTAGAACACTATGTACATAGTAACTATACAAAAATTAACAGGTTAGATTATGAGCAACAGCTTAAGTTTAAATTTAGAGCAGTATGTTTTCCAAGTGCCCCAAAAGGATGAAACATGCAGACGAACTGTTACGAATGATCGGAGAGAGATTGTTCCATAGCAAGACAAAATTTTTCGGTTAAAAGAAGAGTTTCCAAAAAGAGAGGTTTTGCACGGATTGACCTGAAGGCTGAAGCAAGTTGTCCTTGCTTGAACGGGTGCGAGACGAGCGATTATCTATCATATATTATATCATAAAAGGTCTTTTTACACTCGTAACTTTTGTTGCGATTTCTAGTGCACTTTTCGTCTTCTGATGCATGTGAACGAGTAGATGAATGTTCTGAGTATATGAATATTGGTAATAAAGACAGAATATGTATTTGTGTGCACTGTGCACGTGAATAGCTTGTTTATCTTCTCGTTTTAGAGTCGTAGATCTTCCGAGACGGGAGAATGGTGATTGCAAAAAAGACTACATTGAAATTTATGACGGAATCACAACTTGGTCAACAGTTACAAAAACAATCTGTGGAAATGAATCCATCTATCAACCTATTATATCCAAAAGTTATAAAATGAAAGTAAAGTTTATCGCCGATAGGGTGAAAGGAAAAAACAGAGGATTTGACGCCACGTATGACCCTTATCAGCCACCTAGAGGTGAGAGTTGACCCACTACAAGTTAATTTAGCCTAATGGATTTTTCAGTTCACCATGTTCTTAACAAGTGCCCTAAAGAGAGGCCGTCACCCCCCTGAAAACATATTGAAATTTAATATTCCAGGGGGGTGAATGCCTCTGCATGTTGGGCAAAGCAGTTGAAGTCATCTGAGGTAATCAAGATAGAAAAGTTCACGATTTCATGGCAGATTGATTGGTGACCACGCCCTTTTGTCGGGCAAGAACTCACACCTCCTAAAATGTACAGTCAAGTTGCGCCCCTGAAGAACTTAACAACTCTGTTATATTTCAGTGACAAACGTGAGCCAGAAGGTTACTGGAGTAGTGATTGGAACAGCGTGTGGTTTGGTGTTTCTCGTTCTAACCTTCCTGGCAATCTGTCATTCTCGAAGACTGGCCGTGCTACGAAGACATTATGATGACCAATCACTTAATGGCGATGATGCAATAGAGGAAAAAGCTCCACCAACCTATTACGATGGTACGTAGGAACTTGCCTTTGGGGTTAGGGGCGGAGAGCAGGGACGTAACTAGCGATATCTGGTTGGGGGAGGGGGTGAACTGAAAAGTTTGGGTCCCCTTCCTTTCGGGGCCCCCTCAAAAATGTTTTCCGAGGTCGACGTTTTCTTGCGAAAATAAACGTCCCAAAAAATTTTCCCAAACATTTTTTGGGATGACCTCAATTTTTCACAATATTCCTTAATATTTAACACGTTCCGCAATTCCAGCATTTCGGGGGCACCCTCTGGGAAAATTGGACCCCCTTCCTTGACTTTTCTTTTGGGGTGGGGGGTGTTACACACCCCAGTAGTTCCGGCGCTGGGGGGGGGGGTTGTCTATAACCTGGTCGATATTCGAGAATGCCTGTATCATTCTATTTGCAAGATAGTTTCATTAATGCTGACCAGAATAATCTCAGTTATTCTCAGTCATTGCTTGGGTCATAGCACGGTTAGGTCATATCCACAAAACCAAGATAATGAAGATGCCATGTTGTTACAAAACTCTTCCGAGTATAAATCGTACTCTTCATGTTCTATTTTGTTCGTCTGGACGGTTCAGAACAATAGACATTTGTTAACGGTAGAAGGGTTTGAAGATGGAATGCAACTCTGGCAGGAATGGAATCTGCGCCCTGCGATTCCGGCGCAGCGCTCTAACCAACTGAGCTACAGAGGCGGTGCAACACTGCAACGCATTGACAACTACAAAATGTGCATCAATCTCTAAAGGTCCATACACACCGGACGCGATTCGACAACGCGACGCGATTTTTTAGTTTTTGAAAGTTAATAAAACAGCCAATGAGAACAAATTTTGAAAAATATGTAGACCAAATAACTCAAAATGCACTACCGCTTCTACATATTTGGAAAATTTAAACTAGAATCAAAGTTATCGGTCAGTGAAAATCGAAAAATCGCATCGCGCTGTCGAATCGCGTCTGGACCTTAATACTTATGCTCAATATTTTACTGCTAGCATGTTCTAAACAATATTTATTTCCTTTCAGTGATGAACTCGCCTGAAAATTATCCACTAACCCCGCCTTCATCAAAACGCAAGGAACATCACCTCGCTGGTACACCGCAGAACGAAGCGCTGCCTCGTTATCAGGATCTTTTTCCCCTCGCAGAACCTGGGCAGGAGCAGCAGAGTGCTGACGTTGCAAGTCACATGTCCAGAGATGTCGAAGGAGTCCAGCTCACGCGTGAGATCAAGGGAAATGACGTCAACGAAAGTGAGGATCGTGACGTCAGAGATATCGACTCAGGAAGTGATGTCGGAGAAAGTGGCGACAGAGAAAATGACGTCAGCGAAAATGATGATAAAGGTGTTGATGCCAGAAGAGAAAGTGATGCCAGAAGAGGAAGTGACGTCAAAAGAGGAAGTGACGTCAGAAGAGAAAGTGACGTCAGAAGAGGAAGTGACGTCAAACCAGAAAGAGACGTCGGTGAAGGTGATGACGTCAGACAAGGAAGTGATGTGAAAATTGCAATGGGTGAGTTCAACGTCGATGCGGGTGGGGTCAAAAGAGAAGATGGATCCGACACAGTCGCATATCAAGAATATTCCCGAGCAATTACCACCGATGTGTAGACATTATTAGTAAAACACACGCACCCAAGCTTGCTTCATCACATTCACCTGTACAATTTTTAAGAGATAATTCACAGCACGATTATAGCCGCAATTGATTTGTGGCTTCTTTATATTGTATATACTTGGAATTTCAGTTGTACCACGCGAGGTAGTTTGCAATCTTAGTTTACTGCAATGAATAATATGACAACTGCCACGTAAGCAAATTTGCATATTTTCGGACAACTTTTGTGGCATGCTAGTAAAAATATTTATAAAATAACATGTATATAACACGTGCTCTGATTGGTCGAAACCCGTGCCATCCAAACACGGAAGACTATCGTGTTGTTATTTTATAAAACTTCGGCTCGTGTTTCGCGCACTTTTCTTAACTCTCGCAACATTACATTCCCGCGTGTTTGGATCAGGCCATCCAAACACGGAAACCATAAAGTAATTGTATATTATATGTGTGCGAACTAAAAAGCGAAATAAACATAAAGGAAAGGACAAATCTGATCATTTTTTGTATGGGAAGAAATTTTAGATGTACGTTGTCAGTCCAATAAAATAACGCCTGGTCGTATCGGCAGGAAAATATATAAGCATGTATATTTTTATCAATGCGGGCATTGTACGAGTGTTTTGTGCGTGCTAAATCGACAAATATTCAAATGGCAAAGAGATGTGCTTTAGCACATTACAATATCAAACAAGGTTGAAGAAGAATAACGGAACATCACTAACTTTGAAACGGAACATCGCCAGCTTTGTAAATGCTAAAAATTCAACTGGAAAGGACAAAAATTTGCCAATTTGGTATAGACGCAAGTTGCCCAGTGTCTGTCCAGATTTTTAGCTTTGCTAGTTGGCTGTGTGTGTTCTTGCTATTTTCTGTATATTTTTTACCTTTGATCATCGATCCATGTTGAATGAATGACTTCATCCGAGTTAGCTGTAGTAAGTGCAGGATCGTGTATTCTCGATTTGCTGCTCTTGGTCGGTATTTACCGATAACATGAAACGCGCGTGTGTAGCTGTTTGTCGCACCGACATTGTGGCATTCCTTCAATTTTTTAGCCTTTGGAAAGCCATAAAACGACACCGATGTTGCGTCACTCTTATAACTTTGCTGGACATTGTGAGTCACATACATGTAAAGCGTATCTTTTTTCCATTTGAATATTTATGGCGCAGAACTACTCTAATATAAATATCTGTACGTGCGACCAGACATAATTTTCATTCGATAGATGACACTGACAATATCTTAGATTACTTGCTATCCTAATAATTATTGGATGCGTCCTTTCTTTTATGATTTTCTGCCTTTTTAGTGCGCGCGCGTATATATATATTTTTACAAGTAGATTACAAAAGTTATCGGAAAATATGCAAATTTGCTTACGTGGTAGGGTCATATAACTCATCGCAGTAGAGGTGCAGGTGGATTAGATAATGTAATAATGTACATAGATATAAACATTTTATAGACGACATTTACAGTATGTAAGTCGAAGCTCTTATAGATTTTGAACTTCAATGTGAAGGTGCACTATTATCATTTCATAGAATAGAACAGACAAAACATTAGAATTATCGTAAACAAGAGTCAATTGTCTCAATTACACAATCGATAATAAATTAAAATTTAACATTGTAAAGCCAAAGTAGGCGTAGTAAATGAACGTCATATTGCTTTATG